AGAACTTAATTTAAAAAGCAGTTTAATGATTTTTCAAATATGCATGTCATGATGTTAGACATCATAAAGGTAATTTTTATGCCTTATCATATCTGACTCGACATATCAGCTTTTATTGCCTCATTTGATTTACTTTATTAGAAACCATTATTTCTTCAAGTAATATCTGAAATGTAATTCGCTTCGAAGAAAAAGTATGTATTGTAATGATCCGTTGAAATATGATTCTTGAAATCGTAGTTTTTGAGCTTTTATTAGTCACTGATTTTTATTTGAGTATACCATTTAATTGGCTCTTTCACCTTAATGCGCTTTAGTTAATGATTTCTTGCCATCCTTTTTCCTTGACTGAATAATACATTCGAGACTCTAGAATGATCCGAATTTATTCATAAACGGGGATTAACATATGAGCACTATCATGTAAGCGAGTAGGAAAAAATTCAATTAATATGAAACCTGATTTTCAAATTAATAACATATAACGTTTTATTTTTTGCTGCGCAATATGTTTTATCAAATCGTGGTTTGATATGAATCGTTCGGAGATGTCACAGAGAATGAACAGGAGATCATTTATTTTCCTTTATTTAAAATACACAGCTTTTTTTTACATAACTTTTATTGTTAAATTTTATCGCTGCTTGTAGTTGTATTTTTATGTATGGTAAACTTCATATCTCAGATTTCGTTTTACACAATTTCCTTTTCATTTGTATCTGCAAAGTCAGATAATCGCATCCAATTTGTGAAAATTAGTATTCCTCTTTTGAATTTTGTATCAGTTTATAGTTCATTGTAACTGCTCTGTAGCGCAATAGTTTTCGTTGAAAATACAACTACGGCTTTGTCGGCGAAGGCAGTGTGCATGATTAATCAAAAATAACGGTTTTAGAGTTTAGCAACGGATTTAGAAAAACACTTAAAATTAATAATAAAAATTATAATTAGCCGAAAAATATCACTAAAAATTTACCTAAATTTTAAAACAGTTTACACAAATCATACATTTTAATTACGCAAATTTTATAAGCATTCAGGAAGAGATAGAGGAAAATCTCTAAGTAACCCTTTACTTTATGTTTTTAATGATGCTTTATATTTGTATTTACTTTTATTGTATTTACTGTGATTTTTTATGTTTCTATCCTACTTCCTGAGCGTCTGATGCTTGGTTTTGTTTAGATTACTCTTGTACTCGTAGTTCCTTCTTAGGGCAAACAAAAAGAAAGAAAACACTCCCCAAAGAGAAATATTCCATTTTAAAATTAGAATGAAAATCTTAGTAGTTTAATATAGGGAATTAGTTTACGTTTAATGATTTTAAAATAATTATACTATATTCTGGATTACTTACAGTAAAGTACGCCCTGTACTGTATGAAAATACTTCACATATTATAATATCATCTACAATCACTATTGCTATCCCATCTACTTATTTACTTCTTTTCCTACTTTTTGTAGGCAATTTTGTTTTAAGTTGATGGTTAACGATAGTAATTTTTCCATCTTCCCACAGTAGACTTAACTTGTTTCACACAAATCTTGGTTAATCCAATTCATCTTAATCATAAGTATCATAAAGGTTCTGTGCTTACAAATATGTAGCCTTTAATCGCATTACATAATATCATTTAAAATGATTTTCTAGAGGAGAATTTTAACCCGTCGTTAAACGAGTATGGTCCAATGAGGAAAAATACGGCTGGCTGCATTTGAGGAACGAAAATTCACTTCTTCAGATTGTGTAGTCAGTTTCCCTTAGAAAGTCCTCCACGAAGGCATCCCTCCCCTTAGGCAGATAGCCCTAGTGTGCTTTGCCATAATTAAATACACACACACTCTTCAGATTGCATTAGTGTAAAAATGATATTTTTGAAAAAACTTAATTTGTGAATGACTTCCCAAAGCACTTACAAAATATTTGCTTTTTTCTAAAAGATCAAGTACTCTAAATACATTGATTTCAAATGAACACTGTAAACTCTAGCTATTTTTTGTTTTACTTTACAAAACTATCAGCATTTATGATATGATGACGAACAAATATAAAAGACTTTGCATGTAAGATTTTCTTAAAACGTTTTTCATATATTCTGGTCACTATACTTTCGAATGTTCACAGGAATGTAAATTGCGTAAAAGAGTAATATGAATATATCAACCTTATAAACTTCAAAAATCAAATATGAGCATCTGGAAGCTCTAATTTGCAATTTGTTTTAAAAATTTGTTTTCATAATTTGTCAGACATTAAAGAATTTTTTATTAACAAACTCAACGATTTTAAAGCCAGCAATGGAAACACTGTAGGAAAAAAAATATTTTTATCTCCAGCGCGCGAGACTGTATCGGAAATTCTAAAGATATGCTCATTTTAAACTTATTTGACGATATTGCTGTTGAATTGAATTTTATGGTTTAATAGCGAAGAACGTGACATTTAATAAATAAAGGTAACATACTAAATGTTCAGAAAACGCGTCTTTGGGCATAATGTAAAATCTGAAAGCTTTTAGAATTTTTTTAGTGATTTTTTTTTTTTTTTTTTTTTTTTTTTTTTTTTTTTTTTTTTTTTTTGTATAAATTACTTGTAAGTTCAAACATTCGCTAGAAAGATACAATGTAAAATAATTTTACGGTATATATTCTTTATATCTGTAAGCATATAATAAGACTAAAAATAGACCAACAGTCTGTCACATGCTTTTTAATTGCACGTTTTATTTTAAAGAAATCTAAATTTTCGCGCTTTTTTATGTCACCCTCAGAGCGCCATCCATCGGTGAAAACATTACCTAACGTGCATCGTATGCAAAAACAGGCAGAGGAATTTATTCTACTTGTTGTTATGATTGCAGTTTATAGATTTTTCAAAATTGAGAAGAAAAGTGTTTAAAGTCGCCTGAGTCAGATTCAATATCATATATCACAAAGGGAAGTGATCTTAAGTTCAGTGTCCAACATCGATTTTCAAAATTTACGTTAAATCTCGTATTAATTCCAGCATCTTTCTTAAAACAAGAATAAATCTAGAAGCTTCACAAAAGCACAGCGATGAAGATTTGACATCCCAAACTCAGTGGATATTTTAATATACTTGATGTACCCAAAATTGTTTATCTACAATGGAAGCGTCAACTGAAAAAAAGCTATCGCAATACGTACAAGTAAGAATTTACAAAGTCTGGTCATTTAAAAATATTTATATTATGCGATTATCTCAAAAAAACTTATAATGTATTACTAATGCTTCTATAATGATTCACATCAAGAATTTGAAAGGTTTACCGATAATCAACTCTGTTTATTTTGAATTACTTAAAAGAGTATTTTAATTAGAGAACTTACTCATATGAGTATATACGAATCACTCTTCAAGCAGATCGTATGTATAATGTCTTATTGTTAAGTATATGCATTAAATATCGTTTCAAATAACGCAACAAACACATAACTTAGCTTGCATACATCAGTGTAACGACGTCACCATGATCAAGCGAACTCATTTTCACCCTTATCGTCCAAGTCGTAAAAGAAATGTTCCAGCTATTAAGGGTTGATAGTTATACATCTACGGTCATAACCAACGGTACCAAACGGGTTGTATTTAGGAAGATATCCTGAATGATTCGAACAGCTAGCTTGGCACGGTGAAATGAAATCCTTAACTCCTCTTCCCGTTCCTTAAGCTTTATTTCCGGCTCTGCAACGCTGCACAAAAGAGTAATTTCGTTACATGGTCGATGATCTTGGATCACGCAACGCCAAGAAAAGTTTCTAAAAATAATTTCTCCTTTCCGTTATGGATGTTTGACTATTCTACCGAATCGGTTATCTGAAAAGAATTTTATATTAAAACTTATGAAAATCTCGTATTATATACATAAGGCAATGTTTAATTCAGCCTTGATTGAAAAGAAGCAAAGTGTAGTTTACGTAGTGAAAACATTGCAGACGTTTCAAGTCAGATTTAGACATAAAACACTAAGGATGTATATAGCAATAACATACAATAATAATGATTACGAAGAACATAAAGAAATATTAAAAATGTAATAATAATGGACACTTCATATTCTCACATTTGATACTCAAGTTACTCCTACCTGTTTTCAAAGACAGATATAGTTTATGCGATTTTTGAGTGCTTTTACAGCCTACGATACTTATACAACTAATAACTTAATGCAATCCCGTGTTGGTCAAAGCCTTAGCTCAAAATAGCTGGACGTGTATTTTTATCCCTCTGCCATTTGTAAATAGCGGAATTATCTTCGATTTTGAATCAATCTCAATTCTTTCAATCAATAATATAACTGTGATACTACTTAAATCTCGGTGAAACTTTCTGAAAGCAGTTAAAGTAACAAATAGGGATTCGCTGATCCGTAACTCGTTTCTATTACACAATCATGCAGTTCTATAAATTCGTTTCTATTACACATCATTTGCGATTTGTTTGATAATCTTAAATGTGTTATGAAATAGGAATTCCGAAATTCTAAAACAAATCGTTAGTTAATTGGATAATGTACTATTTTACTTGTGTCGAATTTTTTGAATAGGAAGTCTCTTCCTTTCCTTTCTTAATTTCAACAGCGTCAATTTTTTAATTATTAACTAATAAAAATGGTAGATCCAATTATCATAACAAATACATAAAAGCACATTAAGCGCAAAAATGGATAGAAAATATTTTATTTCAACTAAATCGCATTTGGTAAAAACAAAGATAGGTAGTCACTGTCCTCAACAGAGCTTCCATCATTCTCACAGAGAGCAATGTGTTATATTGCAGATAAAAATCAAGGATTAACTTATGCTTATTTTATAGTGGAGTATATCCACTATAAAATAAGCATAAGTTAATTAATTACATTACTTTGTAAATCTGTTTAATTTAGACACGTCTTTAAGATTTTTATTTTAGTCAACATGTATATCCGAATTATCATAGCGATTCTGGTTTTTATTTAATGTTTTCCTTTCTCATAGATCCTTATGTAAAGGTATGGCTGATGCGAGGTGAAAAACGGTTGGAGAAACGAAAGACTCCCGTTTTCAAGGCGACCCTCAATCCAGTTTTCAACGAGGCGTTCACTTTCATTGTGTCTTGGGAGCACATCCGAGAAACATCGTTAGCTGTGACGGTGATGGACTGGGACCACGTCGGCAGGAATGAAGCCATCGGAGGAATCGTGCTTGGTCCGAGATGTGGACCGACTGAGGCTAAACACTGGGGTGAAATGCTGACAAAGCCTCGGACCCCCGTTATCCAATGGCACAAGCTGAAACCTCTCTGAAGAACTCACACAGTTAAAAAAGACTGTTAACCTCTCTGTCGCTCTCACTTTATAGGTGTGTCACCCCAACGCGCGGGAATCTGAGCAACGACCGCCCCGGTGCTTCTTGAAAACATCGAACTGCGCCGCTTCTCTCGTGCAACGAACGACTCTCTCACTCTTTCTCTTAAAAAGAAAAAAAGACTGTAATCTGTTTGTATCTTTTTCTTCCCTCTGTAGACTCCGTTCTTTGTCTTCGTCGTAATCGCAACGCACAAGGCGGGCCATTTCGCTACCGAGGAACGGCGCTTCCGCTTATTTTTGGGGCCAAAATAAAGGAAAAAAGAAATATTATTATTATTTTTGCCGAAAATCCTGCTATGCTGCACCCTTTGCGCCTCTGCCTTCTTCCTCTATGCAAAAACGAGTGGGCTGTCCCTCCGCGATGGGAAAACCTTCCCACCAAACAGGCACACTGCCTCGATCAGAACAACGAACGGGCTATGGAGGTGTGCTTGCTACAAGTGGCACTCCTGCATTTAGCCCGCGGGCCGCAGCTTCGCGCTAAGCTTTACGTTTTCGAAGCACTCCCGGGGCCTAGGTGTTCAATGAGTTGCCTATTCTTTGAATTTTTTATGACGACAATGATCTGATTAAAGATATTGTGGTAGCATTGCTTGGAAAAATATTTCAGAACATGAAATGAAAACATCCTGGATAAAATGCATCACAGCAGGTTCAGTTTATGCAAATTTCTTACTCATTGCTATGATATCCGAAACTATTTAGCATGGCAGGAAAACAACAAGTATTGGAAACTCTTTTTCGTATAGATAGATATTCATAGCAAGCTAAAAGAGAATTTGTAATTGCAAACTATTATTTGCTTTTAAATGCATCACATGTTATAAGTTTCGTTGCAAACAAGTGGAACTACGTAGGTTAACACCATGCAAACCAGACGTCTAGCACACGGTTTATCTCATTAAGGTATTTAACCTAATAACTGAGGTAGCGAGTACAAGAAATTTTGCGTATTTTGAATGGCAATATGAGATTTTTTTTATTTTTTTTAATTTGTATTTATTTATTTATTTATTGCTATTAGCAATTTTGTTTTCTTTGCGCGTCAGAATATTAAAGATAAAAGTGAATGCGCATGCATTCTTGCTATCAATTGTTTTGATATTCACTGTTTTCAGTCATTAGAAGTTAATGTACTCTAAAGCATTTTATAGCATTAAAGCGCAGCGATTTAATGAAATGAAATTTAATTTTAAAATAAGATCTTAAACAAAATATGATTTTTGGTAAATAAATCATATCAGTATATATTTTTTGAAAAATAAATTTAATCTTTTTGCTAAAATTATAAAGCTAAATATAAATCCTGAATTATTATGTCTTTAGAATTAGGAAGGAATTTTAGGAATAAATTTGGCTTTTTCGCGAGATTTTGAGTGTAATATTCTGCTTTCTCTGCATGTTTAAGACTTTTTATTATATGGACGGATCTGATTTAGGAATGTTTTAAGATCTGATTAAAATTTACTGAATAGGAACAGTAAATTGCATTGAAATGGAAAATTTGAACATCGTTGCGAATTTATTACATATTAAAAGATATCTATTTCATGAAAATGTAAAAACCTATTGCTCTTTTGAACTGCAGAGTTTCCAAACTATGTATCCGAAACCAATGAGCAGTTATAGCATTTTCCGTGCTCATAGATATAAGGCTGGAATATTTAAGATTATCTACCGCATTTCTCTTTTAGTATCGACAACAGAATATTTCTTGAGAGTTAACTGAAGCAGAGTATTTCATGTGAGATAATTAAAAGACTGTGTTTATATAATGCAATGTAAGCATATGCACTGTCGTTCCCTCCCGCTGGTGTAAATATATGCTCAGCTACTTTACAATTAATAGGCATTATTAATTGTTTACATATCCACACATGCATGATTTAGCTGTTTACACAGTTATATATGTGCTTATTCTTTTAGTTCTCTTAGTCTCTCACTTGTCTTTCATTGCATCCCTACTCAGATTAATTCAAACTCCTCTTTTCGAAGGATAATATTTCCCATTTTGACAACCATTGAAAATTTATACTAATTGTTTGCTATGGAATATGGTTTATTTTAGTAATTTCATAAATATGCATTAAAGCTTCCTCACACCGTTCAAAATATAACAGAGACCACGAAATATGACATTATATTCTCGTGACATATCTAAATGCGGCTTAAAAAGTATATTGTATCTTACATTGTATTTATCTGCGTACTTTCTTTTCCTTTCTCAGTCTATATGAAGAAAAGCGGTTTTGATGTTTAGCTGGTGGGACGCGATTGTTTTATCCAAACGCTAGTTATTTCGTATCAAAATCGTACATTTGCTTCTATAACGTAGTTTTGCTTCTGACTAAATAAATTAACTGCAAAACAAATATTTTAATGAAAAGTTCTGTGAAAATGAAATCGAATTTACATTAAAGGAAACTCAGAAATAGCCTTATAATTGTATTGAAAATCGTAGCACAATAATACTTTTGATAGTGAATTCTGCAAATCTTATTCACAAATAAAGCGTGCATTAAATATTCCAGAAATATAATTATAGGTATAAGCTTAGTATCATTTACATTAAGAAAGAGCTTCCTAACATAGCACAGAAATTTGCATAATATCAAGTAGAATCGTATATAACGTAAACTGTGAAAGCTATAAACACTGATCTGTGGATATAATATTCACTTGCATGTGGTTATGTCCTTATGACATGATAAATTAAAATTTTCTACGTATTTTAGACTTTAAAAATGTTTTGTTCTTTGTTTCAGAATAAAATGCGTTGTTATACTAATTTTATCTGCTATATATGTATTTTTAAAAATCTAATTGTTAATATGCAGGTTAAATATAGGATGATGCACGTATTGATATAAATGCCGGATATAGCATGATAATCACGTACCTCACTCAGAAGAGTAAAATATTCATAACTGATTAGAACATCCATTCACCTGTTTCTTGAAAAACAAACAAGTATTACAGTATCATTTCCGTACATCGCATTCATTATAGATGAAGTTTTATATCTTACAACATTACAGGATGGCCATAAATTTCCTAAAACTCTGTATTCAAAATTTTATAATAGCGTTGTACCTGAATATAGATTTTGTGTACAACTTTCATAGATTCATATAACATTTATGGTAAAGTTAATAAAATTTTTAAAATCATTATATATATATATATATATATATATGTGTGTTTGTGTGTGTGTGTGTGTGTGTGTGTGTGTGTATGTATATATATATATGTTTATTGATCTCTACATTTTAATTATTTTCATACTCATCTCAACATAGCTGAGTGGATGTTGTTCTAAGAACAAGTGATGTTATTTTCAAAACATGTTGGTTGGAAAATGTAATTATATAAACACTGTCTTTTAAACATTTTACAAAAGATACTGTCTATGCAAATGATGTTGTGACTGATAACACCATAGTTTCTCTTTATTAAATCTATGCTACTTTCTCGTCAATGTGATAATTCTTAAGTAACTATATTTCAAAGGCAAAATGGAAACCATTTATTCAACCTAATTATTCCGCTTTACATGAACGCATCATATGACCTTAGTTCATAATTTTTAGTATAAAATTTCTTTATGTCAGACTCTTGAATAGGTTTTATTTTTTTTTATATAAATTTAACAAGCTCTTTAATCAGTTCATGAAATTTTCTTGTAAATTTGACATAGTTTTGATCTCATAAAACTTTCTTAAAAACTGTAAAAAAAAAGGTTTGCATGGCCTTACATTACAGTTTCATTCATGAACTGTATGTTTGGCTTTATTTATGACGTTAATGAAGCTACTTAACGATGTACGCAATTTATTGCGATTGTTAAAGGAAATATTAGAACAGATATGTAAGAATACCGAGAAAAATTATCGATGTAATGTAAATATTTGCATTTGGTATGTTTCAAATAATAATTGTGTAAACATTAGCAATTTAACCAACGTGAAGCAAAAAAATACTCTGTAGAAGGGAAGAGTTTTCTCTAGAGAGTAGGCAACTCTTTTCTGCGCCTTGGCATCGCTTAATGTCTTCCATTAAATTTTTTCTCTGTGTAATGTAGCTTTGCTCGTTCGTCAGTTCGCGGAGGCCCCTTCGCGGGCGTTCCTCGGCGGCGATTCCAACCCCCGAACACGACCTCCCCCATAATATTCGCAAAATATGTGTATACCCCTTACGTCTAAATCCCTATGTCGCATCATGAATGGATAAATGATTCACTTTGAATTAGAGGACATCTTCGATGTTTTGTGGATGCTATTTGTGTGATAATTCCATTGTCATTCTTCGACAAAAATAGACAGTTGTGATAATTATATTGATGTTTTCTAATAAGGATGGATGTTTTTCGCTAATGTGAGTCTTTTATAGTTATAATATTAAGAGATTATTGATCCCTACATTGTTTTCTAGAACACAGCCCATTATTACTGGAGGTTTCATTCATAGGAGGCCAAAGTTACTCTTTGCTACAGACATGATGTAAAAAGTGGGCAGATATAACTGCAGCTGTACATAACTTCAGCAACTTACATATAGGTGTACAACTTACACAATATAAGAGATAACCGTCTTTCTTCTGAAAGCGTCTGTAACCCAGCTGCTCATGTCTGAATGATATATGTGTGGAAGATATCGAAAACTGTAACGAGGGTACTATATTTCAGCTGCTGCATTTTGCATGTTCTGAGATTTGTTGATGTTGGTTGCATTAGAGTTCTGGAAATAACGTGTTTTTTAGGATCTTGGTTACAATAGGCATATGCCTTTTGGAAGTACAATTACAACAGTCATATACCTTTTGGATTGTAAGATTGCCTTATAATTTGTGGAGTTATCGAGCTATTATTCTGTATTAATATAATATATAAATATATCTCTAATGCAATAACGTTTTATCTCAGAAGGAGTAAAGCCATTTAAATTTTAAGCCACTTAGATTTCATACCGGGGAGAATGTTGGAAGAGAAAGCTATATATTAATAAAAACTGCAAAAACTGAAGAAGCAAGATCACTAATATAATTAAATAAATCTCCTGTTTTTAGCATATTAAGTCATTTCGGAATCATGAGGTGTCGAGTTAGCGGACGTTTTCAGGCTGAAAACATCCACTGCCGATTTTCCTTTGTGATATAATATACTACGCTTTTTTCAGTAATTGTAATATACTAATTTCGAGTTTATTTACCTACCTTTTATATTATTTCTACAGTAAATGATGATCGGAAGCCTGCATCAGATGGAAAACTTTTACATAAATACACGTGAACATTTCAACGACTGCAATAAAACATTTTAGAATGAAATTTAAATACTCGAATAGTTATGGATAGTGCTTGCGGTAAAATGCAAAGAACAATCTTTTTTCATGGGGGATAAAAAGGTACGAAACGTTTCTTAAATAATTTTTTTCTATCTTGAAGATAAAGACCTTACGATTCCTCATAAATCACATTGCAATGTAAAATTTTATATTTTTGCTATCCAGTATCAATGTGAGAGTAAAAAAAAAAAAAAAAAAAAAAAAAAAAAAAAAAAAAACAATAATTTGTAAGAACAGCTAACTGTTATTTTAAAGAAAACTAAACTATAAATCGAGCTGTTAATAAATAGAAAAGCGCTGAGGAAAACCGATTTCAGATTCATTCATAATTCCTGAACTTCATATTAAATAAAACTGTAGCTAAAATGTATTTATAATTCTTGGACTTCATATTCGAAAATGAAATTTTGCAAATAAAAAATTAACTGATTTATTACTTGAAAACAGGCAGTTTTTACGCTTATTCAGTAACATACATGCGCGTGGTACTATGTTATTTTTCCTTGATATTAATAAGCATGAGAGAATGTAATATTTACATCATAAAGAACTAGCTGTGATTATAGTTTAAGCACTGCCTTGTTTTATCTTAGATTTGTCGCAATACCACTGTACAACGAAATATTTCACAAATGGATCCTAGCCATAAACGTGATAAACATTGTATTTCCTTTCTGCATCTTATCAACGAAAAACAACATCTTTCTGCTTAACATGTCAGCATCGAATTATATAGTTCCTTTTCTTTAAATATGATTGAGTTAATCTAATATAAAAAATTAAATTATGCGTACCCCGTTCGTAAGCCTTACAAAAGGATTTGAATGTTAAAATAAAAATGAATAGTAGTGCCCTAGATTAAAAAAAATATACTAGGAACTACTCTGATATGCGCCCTCAAGTCGCCAAATTTCTCGTCAAATATTTTTGGCGAGAAACTCCACGCTGCCATATTGCTATGTAAATTTTTTGTCTACTTTTCGAACTTTAAGCCTAAAATGTCTCCAAAAACACGTTTTGAAGACACAATTTAGCTAAAAATCCGAAACACACACACACACACACACACACACACACAAAAAAAAAAAAAAAAAAAAAAAAAAAAAAAAAAAAAAAAATTAGATATCAAAACCGTGAAGTTTCTAACCAAAGTTATTTGATAAGAGTCCATGTACACAGCGATATGTTTTAACTTAAAAAAACATCTACGAATGGCGCAATCTAGGCAACGAACAAATCTACGAACTACGCGCACCTCGCTTTAATAAATTAACATAACAACAATAAATTTCAAAGAATACCATGTACACAGCATCCTGTTTAAACTTAAAAAAACATCTACGAATTGCACAATTTAGGCAACAAACGAATCTACGATCTACGCACAACTCACTTTAATAAATTAACATAACAACAATAAATTTCAAAGAATACCATGTACACAGCGATCTGTTTCAACATTAAAAAACATCTACGAATTGCACAATTTAGACGGTACGCACTAATCAACAAAATAACTAAAATAAATTTCAAGCAATTCAAAAAAACAACAATAACGACAGAAATTCATACTAAAAAAACAATGAACATAACATTCTACAAAATAAGAAGAATAAAATAAAATGCACTTACCATTAATGCTTTTTCGAACAGCAGAATTACCAATTTCATACCGCATTTAATATGCCTCCAAGTAATCACTATCGTATTTATATATGACAGCCAGACACACTATCCAGAAAATTCATACTATGGTTCACAAATAAATAAAATAACAAATAATCACAAATCCCTACTTCTACCATGCACAGCCACTAAAAATAATCTCCCAGAACCTCTTTCCACACCTCCAAATACCCACTGCCCCTTAACAGGATGGCCACGACGATATTTCCTTTTGCCGAACTTCAATTCAACAACTTCCACCATTTTAGCTTCTCAGATACAGAATATGACGCGAACCAACGAACTCCAGCGAAAGATTTTTCAATGTCAACAGGCTGCCATACAACACGCAATCGCGCCCAAAACCAGCGCAGAACACATATCGCCACATTTGGTGAAGTTAGGGCGTATATCAGAGTTGTACCATGTAGGATATTTTTCGAAATATGGACTGACATAAATCCGTATAGTTGATAAAGTAGTTACAATTTAGTTACTATTTACATTATTAATTTAAATCGATAGGTTAGAGTTGAAATACTTATTAAATGTTTAAAATAATTTTAAGATTTAAATTTAGGCATTTAATTAAAGTTTAAATATTTTTAGTCAATTACTCTTTATAAATTTTGTTGTTTTGTCTTTTGATCATTTATAATAATAATTTAATATTTTTACATTTGTAAATTAATCATTTTATTGACATATTTGAGTGACTTAGGTATTTCGCCCTTTCGGTGAGTCCCTACAGTTTCAAACGTTCGTGGTTGTAATTTAGTATTGTTTCTTTAAAAATTGATATAAAATTCAATACAATGTAATTGTAGAAGCATAATAACGATCATTAATTTTTATGCATAAAGTAGCTAGACAATTTAATTGAAATAAGCGTTCTTAAAGGTTATTCATATGAACACTGTGCACTCTTAAATCTTCTGAGACTTGAATTTTTAACCTGTGATAAAAAAAAATGAATACATTTTTGCTGTAATAGTTTAATTTTATATTTTTATTTTTGAAGAATATTTAGCATTTACATTCTTGCATACAGTTTTAAGTTTTAAGAATCATTTATGTTTCTTAAAGAATTTTCTCATTTATATGTATCACTAAATAAAATTCGTGCTAGTTACTAAATATCACTAAATAAAATCAGTATATATATCTAGTATCACTAAATAAAATAGTTAGTTCTAGGTAAAATATTTCGCAAAATCAATTGAGTCCGTAAAAACTCAAATAAACTTAATGATCCCAGTAATATAAATAAAAATTCTTATTTTTTAGTAAAAGAATTCACCAGTATTGTCATGTTAAACTCTTTCAACGAAGAATGTATACTATCATTAAACTAATTAACTCTGGTCTGAACAGAAAAATAACATATATATATACAGCATATTTCGCAGTATACTAAACTTTAAACATTTAGTTAAGTAAGTTAAACTTAAATGTTTGAAAAAATACATTTATGCAAGGCGACAGAAAGTTTTCAATACTTAAAACAAAGTTATTCGACTGTTAAAAATTTTTTAATAATATCAACATTTTCATTGAATTCAAAGGCTATTGTTTGCACTTTGAAAAATGATTTTTTACGCAGTATCATAGAAATATGATTCTAGGAAAAGCACTATTATAACGGTAGAAAGCACTAAAGGTCTAAAGTATTTTGTAATGGTTTTTATAGACTTCAGAAAATTTATATAACAAACCCAGGACTTCGAAAATTTTTATACATCTAGTTCTCTCTGAAGTCCAGCTTCATTCAATGGAAACAAAAATGGGATTCCTTCATATTTTCATTACACAAAATTAGAAGTTCTCATAATCATGTCATCTAGGTGTATGAGAATATTTGTAGAGATAATGCAGGTACAGTAGCTAGCGCACTGCATACAGCTAGCTTAGAAGATGAAATTCTTGCTAACATGTCGTCTGTGTCGCTTATTATAACCACAGAGTGTTAACATCCCTTTTCTTATGAGGAGTGTCCGGGGGGGAGGTCGTCCACATGGAGGGACCTTAGGTCGGAACGGACCCGCATCTAGGTGTACAGAGAGTATACCACACACCAGTACCCTACCCTGTAGATTAGGAAAGAGCGGGGGCCCGTAGGGGGCCTGGGTCGATTAGATAGGCCTAGGGACCGGGTCCCATCGCTCCCACATTCCCTGTCAAAAACATATGTTTGTACGACGGAATTGGAAGAAATATCTATTTATGTATCTGGCCAACAGTGTAAATAAAAATCTATAAAATGTGTTTGTATTGCTCCTTTTTCTTTATTTCGTTTGACTCACTCCACTGGAAAAATTACCAAACAGAATGAATCTTATGCTGATTCCTGTTGCTTTAACACCTCTAATAATCATTATTCGACCTTTTATTCTAACCTAGACTTTACTTACTAATTGATGAGTCAGTTAAATGATTTGGGGGAGGGACATAATTCTTATAAATTATTATATATCCTTAGAAGAGCTGTCTTCATGAAAGATTATCTAACAGAAGTGTTGAATTCCTTTACACATGCAGAAAGCCATTAAAACTCCATACTGCCAACGTTTTTAATGGAACTGTAGAACTATTCGGATATAAGTTGTTGCTAGCCTTATGAATGGAAGTACGCATAAAATTACTATCAAAAATAGTTGCAAATTCTTTGCAAAGAATAAATATCAGCTTTTTGATTTTTTTCCAAATATCAAATTTTTAATCAACTGTTTGAAAATATATTTATAAGAAACTGAATAACTAGCTATATAGCTACACCTTTCAGCTTCAAAAATCTGGAACTACCCTTACACACGCCCTTGGTTGACGACAACTTTCTCGACAAATTTGGCGATAAACACTACGGCGCTATATTACTATTTAAATATTTTGTCTATATATTGAACTTTAAGCCTAAAATGTCTGCAAAAACGCGGTTTTCGGACGTGCAAAAACCACGTTTTTAATACACAATGTATATCAAAAATCCGAAACAAAAAGACAAAATTCGGATAGTAAAAACGGTAAAGTTTCTAACCAAAAATATTTGACAAGAATACATGTACACAGCGATCTGTTTTAACTTAAAAAAAAAAAAATCAGATAATTGCACAATCTATGCAGCGTAAGAATCTAGGAATTACGCACACCTCGCTAAAATAAACTAACATAACAACAATAAATCTGAAACAAATACCTTGTTTACAGCGTTCTGTTTTTTAACTTAAAAAACATCAGCGAATTGCGCAATCTAGACATCGCGTACAAATCTGCAAAATAAACTAAACTATATTACAAACAATTCAAAAAACAATAATAGCGACAGAAATTCAAAGCACAAAAAACATAACATTCTACAAAATAGGAACATCAAAATAAATATGCACTTACTATTGTGAATGCTTCTGTTAAGCAGCAGAAATATGAATTTCAAACATTAGCAAAACTCATCAATTTCCACCACTTTATCCTTCCTCCTTTTTTCTGAGACCCAGAGCATACAAAGTCCAGCATACATTCCAGAATAAAACTTCGCCTGTATCTTTTAATACTAAAT